AGTGAAGTATGACCAAGTGCATACGTAATTACTTTAAATTCAGAAATACTAAAATCGCAGTGAAAAAGTGGCCTGCAATTTTATAAGACAACTTAATGTTATGTACAAAATTTGCGTGTGAAATAATCATTTTCTTCCTCCGCTCCACTACAGGTTTTTTGGGCTCAGAAAAAACACTTTCCACATTGAATGCAACTTTCTCTCTTTTCTTATTATTTATAAAACACGCCATTTACAATATAAACAATCAACATCTGATGTATATATATTTTTTTTCTGACGCTCTAATTGCACGCAAAAATATATTTTGGAATTTTTTGATTACAAAAAGCAGTCTAATAGTAACCAAAATTATCTGTAAGATTAACGGAATTATATTTGTTCTAAAATATAAAATCCAAAAAAAAAGAATGATTTTTTTTTCCCAATCATATTCAAAAAATGATCAATAATTGATTTTGTAAATTAATGAAATTTCAGTGATAAATAACTTCTTCTCTTAGATCTAAATAACTGCAAATAAGTGCAACCTCGAAAAATTATTGCATGGAAGTGAGCTGAGTTTGGATGATACTACCTTTAACACAGAAAAAAAAAAAACACCGGTGTTTCATACTGTATTTCAAAACCATAAATTATTAAAATGCTACTAATAATCTTTTTTTATTTATTTTCACCTAAACTAATGCAAATCAATGAAAAAAGTATGAAAAATACTTTAAGAAATTCACTGGGGTTAAATTAGTTCTTCATATTCTCTTAGTGGTTATTTTGTTTTAAGTTATTTTTGTGATTTTAATCTTTTTTTAATCACAGCAAAACAACATTTTCTTCCTTGATTGCACATCTTTTTCATGTTCTTTTCTCTTGATATTCTAAATTGGCTTTAGAGGTGAGGGTAATACCCGATCCTTATAAGGTGCCTACCCTGGAGGTCGATCGAAACGAAACTGAACCACTCTATTACTGGACTAAATCACTATTGTTTGTAAGGGTATGAATCCTTATTAAACATATAATAAGCTGTTAAATAAATAATCCCAAGAAACAGAAGTGGTAGGACGTTACTTGATTTAAAATTTCATTCGCTTAAAAAATATACGAATTGGAAATTACTTTGGACAAGTTTTGAGCGCTCAAAAACTGACGCTAATTTTCAAGACTTGTCAGACGTGATTTAGAAGAAACAAAATTGATTTGCGACATAAAACGTAAAGTTGCCAGCGAAAAATAATGGTGAGAAACAAAACTAGAAAAATCACAGAAGCCGAGATGGACAAGGTAAAATGCATTTCCACGAGTTATAGAGAGCTGGGGATATACTAGATGCGCTTTAAAATTAAGACTTATGGAACACGGTGATATGTCCGTTATCATAAATGTCTCATAATTGATGCATATTGTCATAGTTCATAAATTGTTGAAATCTGGGGCATAAATTCAGTTTCGACCGTGCCAAAATTATTCCCACCCTAGTCACATCAGCTCATTTTAATGTCCTAGAATTTTGTTTTATTAATATGAATGCTGATTCTTTTGTTAAAGATATTAGTTCCTCACCACCTTTCCTTTTTCTTAGCTCGTGGAAATGCATTTTACCCTGATTTGCCTATGGCCACTATGGTTTTCTTGTTCCATTTTTCATCTTATTTCTCTCTCGGGTACAGAGGTTTTTATAGTTTTGTTTCTCACGTTTATTTTCCATTTTTCGTTGGCAACTTTACTTTTTATATCTCAAATCACTTTTGTTTCTTATCATTCACGTATTGCAAGTCTTGAAAATGGGCGCTTGTTTTTGAGCAATTGAACCATGCCGACTGTTATTTTCAATTTGTATATTTTTGAAGACAGTGAAGTTTTTAATCAAGTAATATAATAATCTAGTCTTAAAAGTTTTTTTTGAAACTATAATGACCAATTAATAAGTATAGTCTAAGAACATTAAATAGTTGACAGGGTTAAACTTATTTATTACAGAGACCATGAATTCAACAGCATACTGATAAGGTAGTTAGTACTTCTTACCTCATCATCATCATAGCTGGCCAGACAGCCCAACGTGAGCCAATGCCTTCCTCTGAAGATTTCTCCACGACAACTTCCAATTTACCTTTGATCTCCAATTCTTTTCATTAATTGCGAGAAAATCAGACTCCACTGAGTCAGCCTATCTTAACCGCGGCCTTCCTCGTTTTCTTGTTCCAGTGGGTCTAAAATGCAGTATCTTTTTTATTGTATTGTCATCATTCATTCGAATCACGTGGACCATCCAATTCATTCTATTTATTTTTATGTATTTAATAATAACAGGTGGTTTATAAATCTTGTACAGTTCAAAGTTAAATCTCCTTCTACAGTTATTGTTTTCATTTACACCACCAAGTATACTCTTACCTATTAGAATATAATTCAGAGTCTGTTCACTAGAAAGCAGAACTAATTTCGCCAGAAAAAAGGAACTTGGTTTCTGACCAATACCCGGTCAAAATTCATCAAAAATTTATAAACGTAGACATATTTATAAAAACGAAACTATCTTTCAAAATATTTTGCGCTTAGTATCTCAAATTGTAATTGGGGGACGGCCTTGTATTTTACATGCTTCGAAAGATACTACAGAATCGAGAGTATATCCACCATCCAATTTGTGGAAATTAAAAAAAAAGAAAAGAGGATTAAAAGTTGTTGTTGTTAATTTACGTCGCACTAGAGCTGCACTATGGGCTATTGGCGACGGTCTGGGAAACATCCCGAAGGATGATCCGAAGACATGCCATCACAATTTTGATCCTCTGCGGATCACAATTTGGATCCTCTGCGAGCGAATTCGAGCACTTTACGGTAGCACAGTTTAACGAGGACCAATACCGCACACCCTCGGTCCCTACGCAGACTGATCCAAGTGGTCACCCACCCGCACATTGACCGTAGCCAGTGATGCTTGGAACCGTGTCTTAACGATCAGTCCACTGCAGGACAGGATTAAAAGCATATTTACACTTTCTATCTCTATCTATATCAGTCAGGAAGTAAGAGGCTTTTTAATCGTAACACGTAATACGGACTGCATCATATTGAATTTTTAGTTAAATTTGTAAGGGGCCTTTATTAGTCATTAATATGAAAGTCTAATTGTTTAAGATGATTGGATAGTTTCATGAGAAGAAAGATCAGTTTAGCAAAAAACGTTGCTGGTTTCATTGCTAATATCCACTAATAGTTTTACTTTTCTGACGGCAACAGATAGTTAATACATCCTGTTTCATCATTATTTTTACTCAAAGTGTTCCTAATACAACATACATGAATAATTATTTTAAGGTTATAAAATACAATATTTCTTTTAGCTAAGAATTGTGATGCTTTCATTATGTTTTTACTTTTCGTAATCAATGACTGAAAATTACACGTGTGTCAAACCCACTGATAAAATCTGATAATGATAAAAGTGGAACTCCCAATTTTTATTCTTCTTTTCTTTAATCTCCCAAATGATAGTAAGCCATTCAACCTCATTTTTTTCCCTTTTCTGTTATGTTTTAAAAGTTAAGATTGTTTATTTACTTTTAGCTTAAGCAATAACAGTGCAGAAAAAAATAGATATAAATTTTTTATTTTTCATTGTAAAAATACCAGAGTGCACTTAAAAATATTTTCTTCAATATTAATTATATTTTGCGCTGTTTGACAATTTTTTTTTAAAAAACCTTTTGATGCAGAATTTCCCTTTAATAAATTTTTCATACTTTTTTTCTTATTATTTTGTATAAATTTAGGTCAAAATATGTGAAAAATATTATACTTAGCATTTTAATAATTTATGGTTATGAAATACAGCATAAAACACTGATGTCCTTTTCTGCATTGAGGATAAAATCTTCTCACCTATTAAACTTGTTTTTTGTAATTAAAATATACCAAAATATATTTTTACTTGTAATTAGAGTGTCTGAAAAAATCAGGGCTAAAGAGAATAGAAGGGCTGGTTCACTCCTTTGAAGTATCTCTCGCCGCGCCGATCCTCCTACGTCACTCTAGTGACGTCACTTTGGCGCAAAGCTCGCACTTTTACTTCAAGAACGGAGCGTTTGGCCTTACTNTCAAACCCACTGATAAAATCTGATAATGATAAAAGTGGAACTCCCAATTTTTTTTCTTCTTTACTTTAATCTCACAAATGATAGTAAGCCATTCTGCCACATTTTTTCCCCTCTTCTGTTATGTTTTAAAAGTTAAGATTGTTTATTTACTTTTAGCTTAGGCAATATCAGTGCAGAAAAAAAAATATAGTATTTTTATTTTTCATTGTAAAAATTCTAGAGGGCACTTAAAAAAATTTTTTTTTTCAATATTAATCATATTTTGCGCTGCTTGACAATTTTTTTTTCAAACCTTTTGATGCAGAATTTTCCTTTAACAAATATTTAATATTTTTTTTTATTATTTTGTATAAATTTAGGTCAAAATATGTGAAAATATTATACGTAGCATTTTAATAATTTATGGTTATGAAATACAGCATGAAACACTGGTGTCTTTTTCTGCATTAAGGATAAAGACTTCTCACCTATTAAACTTGTTTTTTGTAATTATATTATACCAAAATATATTTTATTTTTTACTTGCAATTACACAGTCAGAAAAAATATATATATATAACAGATCCTATCTGCACCAAATGGTTTACAAGAAAAGGTAAGGAAAAAAAATTAAGTAAAAATTTAATTTCAAAATTATTAGTGGGGACTTATTATAACTTACTTTTCAGTAAAGTACGAGACTATTTGAAAATCAATGCTTAGTTACAATGCTATTATTTTTATTGCAATAAAATTAAAACACACAATATAAAATTATCTAGTTTAAATTTGTAAGAATAAAAAGGATAAGCAAAAACTATAAGGGAAAATTTAGAATAAGTTTTAAAATATATATAAAAAAAAAAAATTCATTTATTAACTGCAGGTAAAAAAGAAAGCAAAATTTCAATGAACACCAAATATTTCAGAAACATCTTTATTCACAATTATATATTTATTAATCATCATTTTTTTTTACAATTCAATACATGACTTTTAAGTTTTGGCATCGTAGGTAACTCTTGCTTGCAATTATGACACCTGTTAAAAAATACAATAAAAGAAGACAATATTACAGTGATAAAATAAAAACAAACATACAACAATTATTATACTAAATCCACATAAATTAATTGTACTGACCTAAGTGGCAGTTTTAGAAGTTCCTTAGATTTATTTGGATCTATACACTTTACACAAGAATTATTTTCCAAGTCTCTAATGATATCTAAAATACAATGACAGAAAAAAACATTATAATAAAATTTATGTAATATAATCTTTTAAGTACAGTCAAACCTAATTAAGGTGAATGCACCTAACTTTAATTTTATTTCAATGTGAACTAATTTTCATTTCCACATTAAATTGGATATGGATGAAATGGTTTAAAGTACTTATAATGGGAGTACGCTTAATGCGAAATATCTTTTAACACAAAGTCGAATTTCATTACCATTGGAAAAACTTTTACATTTAATGCAAGTAAAATATTTTTTTTTTCACTCTGACAGGTAAGAAAACTGGTCATTCGCATTTCTATATCAACAAGAGTAGGCATTTTAATGATTTGTTATAGTGTTGATTATTTTAAAATTACAGTAGTCAAATGAAAGAGTTGTTTGAATTGACTATGTTGAGAGAAGGTGGCATGACGGGAAACGAGATAGGCCCTTTCCAACTCTATGAATCGAGTTATCTTTTAACTCATGGGGTTGACAGTAAAAAAACATGCTTTCAGGAGAAATGACTACCCATATTGATCCTATTATTTTGTTAATACTTTCTCTCTAATTGGGAGAATAAATCACCAACTTTTTGAATTTAATCCTATAATATATATATTTTTTCATTATAAGTTTATAACCTTTATAGATTTTTTTAAAAATCTTACTTATTATGAGAATATGCATAGCAGTTATTAATTTAGTATTTAATAGCTAGTTTTTTCAGTACACAACCAGACAACTAGAGCAGATGAGAGATTTCAGTTACACATAAAAAAATACTGCAGAATTTTTTCAGGAATAATTAGAAAGTAAGCCAAATTATTTTATAAGTGGTTAAAAGTTTGCAGATGGTTCTAAACCTCTAAGAGTCTATGCAAGATCAGAGTTTAAAAAAAATGATTAAAAGCTTAAAAGAAAGAAAACATAAAATATGATAAAAGGAAATGATAAAAAGATAAAATTGATTTTCTGATCTTGGATATGGTTCTTAAATGAAATTTCAAGTACATGCATTAATTTTCAATGAATTTTAGGAATCACAGTTTGGTTTGATTAACAATTCACTGCAAACAATTAGAACAAACAGTACTAATGCATTAACAATAGTTTCATATAAACTTAAGAAATATGCCTTTAATTCAACAACAAGTGTACAACTGTAGTTGAATCACTCTCTGTTATAATCTGGAAAATTAATTTTATTAAAATTTTATTTTTATAAATATTGCTTTAACTTTAATGAAGATCTTTACATACCATCATCAAGATGGAAACATTTTTAAAATCAGGGGGAGTGATAATTTCCAATTACTATTAACTTGTGATGAGTACACGTAATAAATATATACATTTAGTATCTTCGTCAAAAATAAAATTAAAGAAAAAAGAAACATTGGCTGTCAATAAATATTTAATCACAGAAAAAAAGCTGAAAGACCATCATTCGAAACAGTTTCATCAAACAATAAACCTTGCTCAGATTTTTTCTCTGCTTTCCTCAGTAGTAATTTGTTAGATTGTAATAGCATTTTTTTTCAGGCTTAAATTAATTTAAAAAACCTTATGAGCATACTTTTTTTGACTTTCTTCATAACAAAGAATAGAAATATACAGATATTAAAGGCAGTCATTGCAGAACAGACAGTATTTCACTTTATTTTATGATATACAGAACACTTAATTTTTATTAGATCACATAAAATATATATTTTGTATAAACTGACCTTCAGAATCAATAAAGTATTTAGTTGTGAAAGAACAGTGTGTTTTCATTACTTCACCTTGTTTTATGATACACAGAGAAATAAATTTTTAGGTTACATAAAATAGGTATAAACTAACCTTCAGAATCTATAAAATATTCGGTTGTGAAAGAATTCCAGTGTGTTTTGGTCTTCAAACAGGGACTATCAAAATCTTGACTGATAACATGAAGATGTAGATGACTGAAAAAGAATGACATTATATAAATATTTGGAAAAAGAAATCAAATAAAATTAAAGCAATACAGAATTTGATCAATACCTCATACTAGGAACAGCATGATAACCGATTCTTACTCCACATTCAGAATTTATCCTACTAGTAAGAAACAGATTATAAAATGATCAGCAGTTAAAAAAATATTTGAACATGATCTAATAAAAAAGGAAAAGAGAAAAAAAAATTTAAATTAGGAAAGTTTTGTTACAAAAATAATACCATGTACAAATTTGCATTATAGAACCAGACATTACAATAAAATAAACTTTCTGTGATTTTATTGCTAGACAATAGTTAGAGCAAGAATGTTAATGACCTAAACATTCTCAAGAAAATGCAAAAAAAAGCTTCTAAACACTATAAAAAATAAACTTAAAATGTAAAATAATGGTCTGAAAAATTTTCAAAATCATGTTTTATTATAACTTTTTTTATAAAAAAATTATAAAACGTAACTTATGTTTATAAATTTAACAAAAAAATAAGATAAAGATTAAAATAAATATACAATTTACTAATTACATAAAGAGCAAGTAAATACCTGATAAACAAAAATAGGAAATAAATAATTTTTTGTAACAGCCTTAAATGACATCAGTTCAATCAAATGGTTTTTTTCTTCAAATGTTCAAGCAAATGTTATTATCAAATGTTTTTTAATATTCTTCAAACTGAAAGATAGTTTATTGTCGAAAAACAAATTCTTAAATCTTGAAAAACTCTGCTCCACATCAACACTTGTTACAGGAGGATATTTAAAATAAAAAGATAAAATTTAAAAAATTTTCTCATTTTTAAACAAAGAAAAAAAATGAATTTGAAAATTTTCCTTTTTGACAAACTTTCTAAAACAAATTATTTAAAGCCCAATTATATTTATATTTTTTTCCAAAAAACATAGTTTCAGCCAATTTAAATTAATACAGCACTGAATGCTATTTAGAATTACAATATCACATCACAACTAATTAAGAACCAGAGAAAGGATTATACATTATTCACAGGTAGCAAATCACTAACAACAGAATTTTGTTTTGTCGAACTAAGTTTCTAAAATAAAATACTTACACCTTGATTAAATTTTCGTATCTCAAATATCATATTTCTTAAAAAACTATCCTTAATTTTAAAATAAAAGAATATACATAGAAAATAACAACAGGAATCAGAACTTATCAAGCTACAAACTACTTTTACAAAAGAATTTTATATATATATANATATATATAAAGAGAGAGAAAAGAAAAATAATTAAATAATTAAAAAATTTATAATTTTTGAAAATAAATTAAAGAATATTCCACTTTTTTGCAAGGATTTGCAACTGATCCCTCCCCAGTTTCAGGACCTTGGAAAATTGTCCTTCTCTTGCTCCTATGAATAGAGCCTTGGCTACACAACAGGATTTAGACAAATGATATTAATTCATAATTGCAATATTAAATTGTTAGATGTTAAGGACAAAATGTAATTTATATAAGTTTTATTTGCATTTAGAATCCCATAAATATTTCCTTTTATTTTGATGACAGTTTAAAATTAGTAATTGATAAGTTATGAATCATTAAAATTGCTAAAATGAAACAAATTTAAAAAAAAAAATTATATGTTAAAATAGTCATGAAAATATATGCAAATCTAAACATAAAAATTATAAATATTTCTTTCAAAAATCATACCACATGTTTTCAAATTATTCTATGGTGTCTACAGCAAGTTTAGAGTATTGAAATAGGGCATTTGTACCGTAGATACCACGAGTGTTGTTTGTAAGGGTTATATATCCCTCTCAAAAATTAAAAATTGATGAAAGCTTCATTCCCCATTTCAGATGGAAGAAAATAGAATTTCCATAAATCATTATAAAAATTAAATATAGCTGAGTTAAAAACAAGTTAAGAAATAATAATAACCATTTTGCCTGAATAAAATTCAGTGAAGAAAAATTGCGATTTTTTTTTAATGTGTGAAAATAAGAATACAAATAAAACTATATATTTTGATCTTTTCGTTACGGCAGCCAGTGTTCCTGAAGTGACGTCACAGACCTATACCAGCTAATGTGCACGTTGCATTCTGGTAAGCTGTTGTTTGGATTTTCTCATTTAAGTGCTAAATAACATTATATTTGATGATTTAGCAAGCATTATAAATAACAATGAAATCAACTTCAGAAAAAAAAATGATTTTAGTTGCTTTTTTCATTATTTTATTTCATAATTGGTCTAAATTCTAAGTTTAAGACAATATTTAATTCCATAGCCTTGTAATTTTAAAATCAACCAAAAAGACAAAGGAACTGCTGAACTAAGCATTAGGATAAATTAGCCCTCATGGAGGACTTTTTTGATGGAACTAATCCACATTAGTATTAAATGGAGAGGAAAACCTCCAACAGTTACCTTGAGGGCAAAGGGGATTTTAACCCATAATCCGTCTATCACTAAGGATATTTTACATTCGCATTGTGGTCAGTGCAAGCCGGGAGTAGAGTTCGTATCAACCAGTTGCGGCTAGGATTCAAACCTGTGTTACCTCATTGGGAGGCGAGCACTCTATTCCCTGAGCCACTGCAGCTCTTTTAGTGGTATTAATGGTTATCAAAGAATATCTCACTGATGCAGGCTAAATACATCAGTACACACACGTCAATATGTAAATCCTGGTACTCGTAGCGAAAGGTTTCATATTGCTGACTTCCACCCCCCTAAATGCTTGGGACATTCAAGGGGCTAATGCATAGCATATAGCACAGGTAATACATAGCATGCTAAATACATAGCATAAACAATTTAAAATTGTTTACATAAATGTAGATTGATTTGATTTTTGACTCTTTTGATTTTTAGAAAAGAAAACTTATCTGTAAGTTCAAATAATAATGCTACCTTTCTGTGAGTTTATTGGCTTGCTCATGCATGTGTTTCAATAAAGGCAAATGACTTGATTTTAAAGATTTCAAGTCAGGAATATTTTCTTTGGGCAAAATTAGATAATGATGTCTAGCCTAAAACCAAGAAAAGAATATTGTCACTGTTAAAAATCTACAGTAAATAAAAAAGTTTCTTCAAATATGTAATGAGCTTACTTAATTTCTAAAATTTAGAGATCTAAGATTAAAGGCAAACAAATGAGTAAAATTTTTAGAGGACATCAAGAGCATGTTCTTATTTATTATTTTTTTAGAATATCATATCAGTATTTATTTTCACTTTCATAGACATTATTTATTTTAAGTTAGAAATAAATTACTTAATGACATTATATGCTTCTATTAAACTGAAATAGTCCATTTTACATCAGAAGCATATCAAAGGCAATTTAAATTACTTTACTACCCTTACATAAAGTTAGCATAACTTTGAGTAATACAATCTAATTTACGCAAGCAATATAATAGTCAATTAATCTCATTTTTTGAATGGTCTTTGTAAAATAAAGGCAGTGCTCAATTAAACAATAAAGAAACATCAAAAATTAAATATTGGTTTTATTAAGAAAGATTTAAGTAATTGAATATCTTAGTAATAAATTATCAATTCTTTTTATGGTTCAACCCGTATCAGTAATCTTGAAATAACTTATACATTTTTTTAAGATGAAAACATTTTTAAGTCTAAATTCATATAATTTCTTAGCATCATATTCTTACATTCTTCAATCTTTTTAAAATTTTCAAAATTGACGACTATAATCATAAATTTCTTGATATTTACTTTCGGGTATTTATCTTTAATGATAACAACCAAATCATCAGACTCAACTAAAAGTTCTGGATCTTCCATAGATGCTTTTAAACCTTGGCTCCAATGTCCTATTTTTGCTTTTTTCAAAGCTACAGAATTATTCTCTGTTCCTCTCTTAAAAGACATTTTTAGTTCTGTAAGAAAGAAGAGATTTTGAGGATATGTTGAAATGTAGCATAATAAAAAGTGATAATAATTCATTTGAAAAGTATTGCGACGAAAATGTTTTAAGAAAAAAAAAATATTGGACTAAAGAATTCATTTTTAATTTACAATTTCTTCTATTCCTGCAAACTTGAATCAATCTGAACTACTTCTTATAAACTTTTAAAGTCAAAATAAGTTTTTTTTGCAATAATATAAGTTTAGATAACTTGAAAAGTAGAATTAAAATATAAAGGGTAAAAATTTAAATTAATAAGATTGATATAATGTTGAGTGCATAATTATACAGATTGCTAGACAATTTTACGTCAAACACACAGTCAGAGTTTCAATAGATTATATTTCAAGTAAAGCTTTGACTTTATACTATATATACATTTTGTTAAAAAAGAAGATATTGTATTAATTTAAAAAAAAATTAACTTTTGAAAAGTCATCAATTTTGTGAGATTATTTCACAAAAAGAAAATTAGTAAAATCATTGAATAACTCTCTCAATTTTTGTTGCATAACCAGGGGTCTGTCCAAGCCAAATTTACTACCGCTTAGCGGTAGTTTCACAAAATACTTTATCTTAAAATTTTGTTTCGGTGTTTCGTAAGAAACGATAAATCCATATTTTCGTGTTGAGTTTTAAATATTCACAAATCATGTCAAAATTTTCACAAAATAGGTACTTCTCAGAAAAACCTAGACAGACCCCTGATTACAGTCTTAAGAACAATACCACCCTGAGGGAAATAGAGGATTTACTAAATAAGTTTTAAATAATAAAAGCAAGCAAAACATCATTAAAAGCAAACAACTGCAGATATTTCTGATAAGAGAAATGGGTGGACCAACAAAGAAATTTTAAAATATGGTTTGGATTAGTATTAAAAAAAGGTGAAATTTTTTTTCAAACAAAAAAAAACATATTTTTTAATTTATTAGAAAAAAAAATATAAATATTATTTTTATCTTTTAAATAAATTTTCTTTTCATTAAAAAAAAAATATTTAACAGAAAGGNACGCCAAACACACAGTCAGAGGTTCAATAGATTATATTTCAAGTAAAGCTTTAACTTTATACTATATATACATTTTGTTAAAAAAGAAGATATTGTATTAATTTTAAAAAAAATTAACTTTTGAAAAGTCATCAATTTTGTGAGATTATTTCACAAAAAGAAAATTAGTAAAATCATTGAATAACTCTCTCAATTTTTGTTGCATAACCAGGGGTCTGTCCAAGCCAAACACACAGTCAGAGGTTACTACCGTTACTAATTTACTACCGCTTAGCGGTAGTTTCACAAAATACTTTATCTTAAAATTTTGTTTCGGTGTTTCGTAAGAAACGATAAATCCATATTTTCGTGTGGAGTTTTAAATATTCACAAATTATGTCTAAATTTTCACAAAATAGGTACCTCTCAGAAAAACCTAGACAGACCCCTGATTACAGTCTTAAGAACAGTACCACCCTGAGGGAAATAGAGGATTTACTGAATAAGTTTTGAATAATAAAAGCAAGCAAAACATCGTTAAAAGCAAACAACTGCAGATATTTCTGATAAGAGAAATGGGTGGACCAACAAAGAAATTTTAAAATATGGTTTGGATTAGTATTAAAAAAAGGTGAAATTTTTTTTCAAACAAAAAAAAAACATATTTTTCAATTTATTAGAAAAAAAATATAAATATTATTTTTATCTTTTAAATAAATTTTCTTTTCATTAAAAACAAAAAAAATATTTAACAGATAATTTTTCTTTTTTGTAATGATGTTTTATGGAACAAATATACATTTATTTATAATATACACACACTATTATTGATGCAATTCAAAAATATAGAATGAATTTAGAATGTTTCTTTTGAAGATGGTGAGAAAATTTTTGCTATCTGCATAAAATCAAGAGACTTCTTCAAATACAATCTGGAACGCTAGGGTCAAAGTATAAAATGTATTAAAATCTCTTCTTTGTTATTGACTTTCTTCAAGTCATCAGTCTTTTGGAGTTGGTCTGACTTTCTGAGGGTTGAAAAAAAAAACACACAGAAATGATAGAAAATCGAATTTTTTAACTTAGAGTTTGTTTCATAAAAGAATACGATGGAATAACAATAAGAAATTTCACAGAATTTTAGAAAAATTTAGTGACAAAAAATATAATTGTTTTGGTATCATTTGCTCTGATCTTCTTTCAATAAAGAAAAATTTAATAGTAAGATTTCATGATGTAAAACTCTTCATGAATAAACCTTTAATATTTATTTCACAAAAAAACCTTAACCCTAAAAGTGAGTTTAAAAAAAATGGCTAATCTGAGTTACAGTATGAGAGGATTTGCAGACATAACAGTGGTTTCCATAAAAAAATAATAACACAATCATATTTCATTATCATTAGTTTCAAGTTAAAAGAGATAGAACAAATGATTATAGTCTTACTTTACAATGAGAGACTGTGCTTAAATACAATTATTAACTTTTATTTATTTTTCTTTCAATAAGACACGATAAAAACTTCTTCATATTTAGTTATTGTTATTTTAAAAAAAATAGTAAATATAAAAAAAAAAAACTTTGGAATTTATTTGTGGTGAGCATTTTTTTTCCCATCTTTTTCTGCCGTTTATCAGAATACAGATTTGCATAGAACTGAAGCTCAAATTGTCGACAAAGTTTTTAAATGAGCACAGAATTTAAGCTGACAAGTGTCCTGCGAAAACAAGAAAACTGGTAACACGGAACTCACTGCTTTACCTTTACAATTTAATATTATAAGAACAGAAAACCCTCACAAACATTCTCGACCAAATATAATTTCCTTTTTAAATAATTGAAAAAGTAAAGAGGTGAGTTTTTGATTGTCCTGTTCGAAATTATGTTACCAGTTTCATAGAAAGCTCGTCAGTTTAACTGAATTATTCAGCTGTTTTAATTTCAACAAGAGTAAAAGTAAAATGGAATAAAATATTTGGTAACTAAGTTGATAAAATTTGCATTTTTTCTAAAGAATAATTTTTTTAAAGCAAAATAAAAATTGCAATTGTTCATGCCTTTTTTATTGTTTATGCTTTTACCAACAACGAGGAATAGCGATGCGATTATTTACTTGTTCGCTTTCAGCTACCTGTTTCTGCTAAGCTTTAGCTGTTTTGAAACTTAACATTTACTGCGTAACCCTAATTAAAAATATTACAAATGGACGACGAAATTAAAACCTGAGCTAATAAATATGTTTTATAATTATTCACTGCAACTGCTAGAAAAAAATTTTTTGTTATTGTTTTCTGTTTTGAAAATTGAAAGTTCATCTGTACATTTTAGAAGTTTACAGTATATTTTACAATAAAAGGTATACTTAATAGAATCATGCATGCAAAATTTTTTATATAATGTTAACCAATCATGAAAGGAGTAAATTGACTTTTTCCCTTATTTATTGTGTAATTTTATTTCGATTTTTATTTGTATTCACAAATGAAATCCATTGTTTCAAATTGTAGTATATAGTTCACTAATCTTTATTTTTAAAAAAGAAATCAAAATACCAATGTGTAGGGATTTAATCATTAATTGTCCTTGCTCATATCTGTGGTAAAATTCCTAGTTATAAAATTAAGTTTACTAGATTTCACAAATATATTATTGCTAAATGCAATTAATTATACCAGAGTTCTTACTTTTTTTTGGAACTGAGACTTCCTTATCATTTATCTCAAACCCTGTGACAGAATTTTTTTGGACTTTCTGCGACACACCTCTCCAATACTAATATCTTTCTGAAAGATACTTTTAAAAATAACAAATATACATGTTACTAAATTAAACTAACAAAAGCATCAACTTCAAAAAAAAAACTTTTTGGATCAAATAAAAATTTTTTTTAAAATTAAATGTGTAAAATTTTTTTACTCTAATTTTATGGGCTATATTTTCGAATTTTGTAGGCGGGAAAACACACTAATTATTTATTTTTTCGCATTTTGTAAATTACCTTCTCATTGAAACATAGTGAAATCCATGTCAGTAAATCGGATTCTTAAAAAAAGGCGCTACTAAATATGCTAAGTTATTAAATGCGCATTTCGAGATTCAGTTGCTGTATGTAATAAATAATATAAAAATATTGGATTTTAAAACTAAGTGGAAATCAATAGTAGGTAATAACTGCATTTAAAGAATTGGAGCGAAATTTTCTGCAGAAAAAAAAAACCAAATTTCTTACTTCATTAATCTTTATTTTTCATTGTTCTCAAATGAGAACCGAAAAAGAATTTTTTTTCTCACTCGGATGAGTGAGAAAGGCATCTTTTGAATGTAATTCTGAAGCAAAGATAAAATCTTTCGAAAATTTCTGCAGAAAAAAAACAAAAACAGTTTACTTCCCAAAAGAAAAATCTTTCCGCAAGAACTCTGTAACATTCTGCGACAACGTCGCTGTGTTGCCACAATTCTGCTACGGGGATCTCATATAAATGTTTTTCTCTCACTTTGTTAATACAGTCATGTGATTAAGTTTCTTTAAAAGTTATAATTCTCAAAAACATACAATATAAGTTGTATCTATATAGTTCCCTATATATCTTTCATCTAAACATTAAATATATGTTAAATGACTTAACTTATAAAGTATAGTGTCGTTGGTCGACCAATCAATGACACTCAACTCTATAAATTAAGTCCACCAATTAAGACTACCAATCCATCGAACTTTATTGTGGAAAACTAATAGTTTTCTATTGCAGTGATAGAAAAACAGCTGGACATGGTGTAGGCAAAGTTATATTAAAGATTTATTTTACTCTATCCTACACTTACTACTAGGGTGTTAATTCATAGATTAATGTTAGGTTAAAGATTCTTTTGACTTAACTTTACGGGGTCAGAATTTTACATAGCTTACCATCAGTTGATTCTTTTGACTTAACTTTACGGGGTCAAAATTTTACATAGCTTACCATCAGTTTATTAATTTGTGCTTAAAGCTTGAGTTACCAAAAACTGTTGGATTTNAACATCTTACATGAAGAAACCTTACCTACGGTAAACACGCTACGGTAAACACGTGGTTGCAGAGAAATGCGTTCTGAAAGAGATTCCGTGGTTCGAAAGGATGGTGCTCTGTTGTTCTTAAAGGTTCTGAACAATACTGGTAAATAGGGAAGCTAGATAATGGGACAGATGTTGAAAATAATAAAAGATCCAGGAAGAAAAGTGAAACGAATTTTAATCTAAATGCGAGAAATTCGATGAAATTCGATTTTCTCACCATTTTCAAAATGCGAGAAATTCGTGAATTTTGAAATTGGTTTACAGAATGCGCGAATTTCTCGCGGTAATCATTTTTTAATGCGAGAATATAAAAAAATATGTGAGATTCTCGCTCTGTAGTGAAAACACTGAACTCTGTAACATTCTGCGACAACGTCTGCTACGGGGATCTCAAATAAATGTTTTTCTCTCATTTTGTTAATACAGTCATGTGATTAAGTTTCTTAAAAAGTTATAATTCTCAAAAACATACAATATAAGTTGTATCTATATAGTTCCCAAGATATCTTTCATCTAAGCATTAAATATATGTTAAATGACTTAACTTATAGAGTATAGTGTCATTGGTCGACCAATCAATGACACTCAACTCTATAAATTAAGACTACCAATCCATCGAACTTTATTGTGGAAAACTAATAGTTTTCTATTGCAGTGATAGAAAAACAGCTGGACATGGTGTAGGCAAAGTTATATTAAAGATTTATTTCATTCTTTAAGCTTTACTCTATCCTACACTTACTACTAGGGTGTTAATTCATAGATTAATGTTAGGTTCAAGATTCTTTTGACTTAATTTTACGGGGTCAAAATTTTACATAGCTTACCATCAGTTGATTCTTTTGACTTAACTTTACGGGGTCAAAATTTTACATAGCTTACCATCAGTTTATTAATTTGTGCTTAAAGCTTGAGTTACCAAAAACTGTTGGATTTAAAAGATGGCAAGAGTGGACATTGCCTTGTCTCAGTCCATTTGTGATGGTTAGGTATAGGTTCTTTAAAATAGCTTTGTAGTTTTGCTATTAATTTTGTCTGTGTTAATGTTAGTACGGTAGTTAAACAATCTTTTCAGGGATTTTTAAATTCTTTCATTGCATCAGAGTTCTCCCAAGGAATAAAAAAAGGCAAGGCCTCCCAGAAAAAGGTATTTTGAAAGAGTAGCATAACACAGTAATAATTTATCTAAAGTGTAATATTATGTAATAACTGAATTTGATTTTCAACAATTTTTAAATTACCCTCTTATAATATTTGATGTGTCTGTTTCAAAAAGTAATACTCACTCATTATCAAAATAAGAAGAAAAAAAATTGTAGTTTATAAAAAATAATCACTGGTCGCAAGTTTTTTTTTTTTTTAAAGTAAACTAAAAAGTTCATAAACAATAATTGATAAACAACTTGAAAGCTTTTTTCTGTAATTTAAACTGAAAATTATGAGACAATAAGCATTTAAAGGTGCATTTTATTAAAAAAAAAATACATTTGCTTAAAAAATAATATTGAATAATTATTAATATACCTTCCTCCGACCAAAAAAGAGAGAAACTTATTAAAATTTAGCCAGTTGAGAATAATACATACTAACAAAATAATCATTTGTTATTAATTCTATAATTGGAATTAAATCTATAAACACAGGTAATTTTGCCTATCAGCGTGACTTATTATTCAGGGGCTGTCTAGGTTTTTCAGTAAGGTACCTATTTTGTAAAAATTTAAACATAATTTGTAAAAGTTATATTAAAAAATCAACACAAAAATGTGGTTAAAATTTGGATTTATCATTTCTGATGGGATACAAAAATAAAATTTTTATGAAAAAGTATCTTGTGAAAGTAGCGTGACCCGGGGTAATTCAGGATCACTCTGTTTCTGGGGTAAATAATGATCACCTAAGTTTTATTTAAAAAAAAATATTNTTACTAAAGAATCTGTTAGAATTGATTGTGTCAAAACGTGATGATTTAAAAGTGCGATAAAAAATTGCCATTTTCTAAAATTTTATTATTGTGTTCAGAAGTTCTCGCGGGCCGCACTTCAGTAGTCGAAGGGCCGCATTTGGGCCGCAGGTTGTGCACCCCTATCTTAGAACACTAATTTTTAAATGAGAATTATCACATTTGTTGCCAATATGACTAAATATGTGTCTGGCACTTTGTTTGTCAACCTGCTAGGCAAGTGGCCTTTCACTCAAAAAGGTTGTGCACCCCTAAGCTATGTTAATTATTACCAGGTCCTGATTGGTGTGGGCATAAAATAAATAAAAGAGTTTTAAAATAAAATTTCCCTTATGACAATGGAACATCATCTGGAGTGCACAATTAGGAATGCAATGAAGATGATACTCTTATTCACTTTCATCTTCAGCTCTCAAATAGAGGTGTGCACTGAAAGTGATGCTCCATTAGAGCATTGAAATCTGCATACTGGGTGTGTCACAATTCCCTGTCTCGTTTTTTTTTAAGCGTAACTTCCTATGTTTTTTTTAATGGAGTTACTTTAAAGTTTATGTGTTTGTGTCCCCTATGCCACATGATTTTACAGAATTATGATGAATGATCACAGTCTTCTTCTTTACCATTGATCTTGATATGTAGCAGCTAGTGTAGTAAAAATTTGACTTTAGAATTGAAGTCTGTTGTGTCACCAAAAGTTCACACATTGAACATTTGTGCAGAAATTTGTGATGTTTTTTTTCTTATCAGGTAAAGTATAATTTTTAGATGTCTGGAAATATTTTGTTTTTATAAGCCTTACGAATCCTGGAGGGAGTTGTTGCACACTCTGTATATGTGATTGGCTCTTTCTTTATCTGTTATGACAGCTATTTATGTTTTTCAATTTCAAAATGGGCACAGAATTTTTATTTACCTTTTCTTTATACACAAAAATATGTTAAAATTATGCGGATTTTCTTGTCTCGCTGTTGTATAGTAATTTATTACTCAAGTTATCTTTTTGTTTATTATTTTTCATAATAAAACAAAAATTTAACATTAGAAGTCGATTCCTAAAATCTGTAATTTTAAAAATATATTCATATATATTTTAAAATATATTTTCATAAATATATATAAAATATATATAATGTTATTCTGTTTGAATAATTTTTTAGAGGCAAAACACTTTTAGCAATTTTTTGAGCAACATTTTTGCATGCTTGAAAATTTAAAAGCTAATTTTTACCAACATGGTGTTACGAACATATCATGTGTTTTACATCATCTATTCCAGAAGTGCTGCTTTCAAAATTCTCCTTAACCAAGGAAACTTCTTTGGAAGAAGAAACTTTGAAGTTCCTTTTCTAAAAAGAAGGAGCAAAGCTGAAACGACTAACAGTCAAAAATATGAATCGAATCTTTTTTTTTTTAAGTGAAAACAGTCTGTACAAATATTTTCAATTCCGGTTACCTTTCACATTTTTTTAAGTTTAATTATTTATCTAAAATATTTTTTTGGAATTTAACTGTGAATTTTCCAATTTCTTTAGTTGAGAGTTTGTGCAAAAAAGGCATTGAAAGTTTTGCATATGGCAGTGGGCCACATGTGCTAGCAATTTCAGCAGAAGGAGAACTTTATAGTTGGGGTCATAATGGTTATTGCCAACTTGGAAATGGGGGTACTAATCAAGGTCTTAGCCCTGGCCTCATTTCCTCAAATCTCATTGGACGAAAAGTGATAGAAGTCGCTTGTGGAAGTCATCATTCTATAGCATTAACTAGTGAAGGAGAAGTAAGCCTATTCTGAATCGATTAATTAATTATTTGTTTCATAATTATTTCAATAACAATGTTTTCATTTTATGAAAATAGATTGCTAAGTGGTTACAGTTGAAAAATGTGTTTCCTGATGATATAGTAATTTTATTTTACCTAGTACATTAATTCACATTGCATGAGTTGGTACGCATTATCTAATTGAAATGATCTAAAATAGATTTCCTAATCATATATGTATATTGTTAATATGATTAATTGATTTGAGTACATAAAACTGGTTGTTGTACATAATAAAATAGGCAGATTAATATTAATTGTTTGCAGTTTTATAATTTTATCCGGCTATTTGCTTATATCATATGAATTGTGGATTAAAAAAAACATCCGTATGAGACATTAACCAATTATCATTAATAGCAACCTATTGGTTTGTCTTTCTGGTCAGGTTAGAGTAATTAATTTAAAGAATATGTTCGTTCTATTCTTTGGTTATTTTAATTTATAATTAATTAATTTTATAAATCAGCAAACACTATCATTGATCATGTCTATGAATAATTTTGTTTTGTATCTATCTAATGTATAACCAGCTATTAAATGTTATCACATTAACAAAGGCAGTAGTGTTCTATCAAAAATAAAAAGTGGTAGGAGAAGTATGTTATTTTTATGAATGTTTGACTGAAATGCAATCTCCTGACTACCAGGACATGCTGTTATCTTAATTTATTATATTTAGCTCTAAAATTATTCATTTTTTAAAGAGTTCAAGCTGAAATTTAAATGTTTTCTTAATTTTAAACCATTAAATTGAAACCATTAATTGGTTCCCACTTTTTCATTTTTGATAGGACACTACTGTACTGCATTAACAATAATGTAGGTTTTATTGGTAATAATAGTTAGAAATTTTCTTATTAATAGGAATTTCAGATTAAGAAAGTATCTTCTTGATCAAAGATTGAATTTATTTCTTCCTAGTGAGCTATGCTTTGCTAAAATTATGTTTTAGAAATGATAATTATAATTGATAATTATAAATTAGAAAGATAATCGTTTGATGTGTTTTTAAAAATAACCATATTAATGTTTTAGGTGTATTCTTGGGGACAAAATAATTGTGGTCAAGTTGGACTTGGCACTACTACCAATCAGCCTACTCCTCGTAAAGTCACTGCTGGAATAGGTAATTACTATTGTGTATAACTAGTTTTTACAGTAAAGAAAGTGTATGAAGTTTTTTTAATATTTTTTATTCTGGAAAACAAACTTCATAAAATTAAGTATTTTTTTAAGGTTCCAGAAAATGTATATCTGTTGCTTGTGGCCAAACTTCATCAATGGCAGTCCTAGATAATGGCGAGGTAACATAAAAATTTTTTTTCTCATCACTGCATTATATTATAGAATTAAAAACTCTCTGAAATGAATTGGCGAAATAAACGAATAAATAAATAAATAAACAATGTTAGTTTTATTTGTTTAGTGAAATAACTGGATTTTTAAAGTCAAACTTTTAGTGTTCATATGTTTAATCATTAAACGATTAAAAAAAGTCAGGATATCCTTAGAATTTCAATACTTAGCTAATTTATTGGATGGTGATAAAATATTCTAGTGATCTACAAATGAAAATTTATGCAAAAAAATTTAGAGAATAATTTCACTCCTCTATTAACTTTTTGAGGAATGAATTAGAAAAGAGTAAAGTATAAAAGAGATTTTTAAAATTGAGATTATGTTTGCGAATTTCTACCATTTTGTAACACAGATTATATTATAACTAACATATAAATGAAACGAAGTAAATAAAATAGAGTTATAGTCTGAATATTTAACCAATAAGCATTATTAATACATATGTTATTTTAATTTTTTCTGTTTTTATGGGTTAATTGATTAAATTTTTTTAAAATAGGTAATAAAACCTTTGGAATTAAAAAAATGTATGTACCATTTCCCACCATTCATGCCCTTGTCAGTGACGTTAAAAAAGTGTACTCCATAAAACAATCTTGAAGCATCATCCAATTATTCCAAAACTGACATTTCAAATTTTATTCTACTTTGAGTTGAAAAATCTTTTTTAAATGACAGTCGGAGTTATTGGCAGTGTTAGAGCAATAGCAACTAATTTCCTCTATGCTTGAAAGTCATTCTCACTCATTTTGATTAATTTTCTAAGAGATTATCTTTATTCAACAGGATTAAAAAATACATTTTACAAAGAAGAATCCTGGTAAAAGTTTTCACATGCAGGAAATATGCATCTAGATGCATATTGGCACACTTTGGTTGCTAGTGTAGATTTTATTTTGCTGGGAAATTAAAGAATTACAAAATGGGAAAATAATAAATAAATAAAATTGAACAAAAACTGATTAAAAAAAGTTTTCAATGACCTTTTTATCCAAAGAAATAAATGGCTGCTGAGGATAACTTGTGTAAATTGATTACGAATAATTGTTTTATTTAACTGAAAAATATAAACTAAAATGAGCATGAAATTTGTATTTGTATGTGTAAGAATTTCTGGAAATAAATTTATTAAGTTGTTGCTGGAATTTAAATTTGGAGTTAGTTATTCTTCTGAGTCTTTATAAAAATTTATTTTAATAAAAATTATATATATTATTTATTATAATGAAAATTATAAATAAATAAATTTTTTTCCCTTTCAATTTGCAGGTATATGGTTGGGGTTACAATGGGAATGGTCAACTTGGCATAGGAAGTAATGCTAATCAAGCAAACCCATATCGTGTCTCAAATTTGCAAGGAGTGGCAATACAGAAAGTAATTGTGCTATAAATATTAAAAATATTTTTTTAATTATCATAGCTATTTATAATTTTATTTTGCTGCATATTAAATTGTTCTAAAGTTTTTTTAAAAGAATGAAAAATTTACCATTAAAATAAATTCTTATTTGCTCCATATAGAAATATTGAGTAATTTCATTTACATAAAAAACAAGCTTCATACTAACTTTGTCTTCATCTAAAAGTTCATTTGCGGTCACTTTATAGTTATTATTTTCCTTAAAATTTATTTTTCATACAAGGTGAATGTAAGTATAGATAATTCAAAAACAGATTATCAGAAGTTTACTGCTTACTTTAATTTTACTTCTGTATTCCTTAAAAAGCCTAAAAATTATAAATGTATCATGATTCTAAAGATATTAAAGAGTACTTTGTTTTATTTTAGGTTGTTTGTGGTTATGCACATACAATGGCCTTATCAGATGAAGGCATATTATACGCTTGGGGTGCTAATTCTTATGGTCAGCTTGGAACTGGAAATAAAGCAAACCAAGTTCTTCCAGTCAGAATTGCATCTGAAATTGGAAGGTAATAATAAAATTGAAATATTATCTCTCAGAATCTTTGTGATTTATTAATTTTTTTACCATGTAAATTTCAGAACCTCTATAGTTATTTTTTAATGTAAATTTCATGCTCAGAACCTTTATTATTTTTTTTCAATGCAAATATCATCCTCAAAATTTCTATTGTTATTTTCCCCCCCATAAATTCATGCAGAAAACCTCTTTTATTTTTTCCACGTAAATTTCATGCTTAGAATTTCTGGCATTTTTTTTTTCAATGTGCATTTCTTTTCTAGAACCTCTTTTTTTTCAATGTGAATTTCTTGCTGAAAGTAATTGGTTTTTTATGGTCTTGGTAATTATGGTTAATTGGTCTTCAAATTATTTAATGTTAATAATATATAAATTTAAACAAATTTTAATTCTTAATTTAATTAATTAATTTTTTTCCCACTCTTAATTTCATCTCAGAACTTTTGTTATTTTTTTCAATTTATATTTCATGCTCAGAACCTCTTTAATTTTCTTTTCAATGTAAATTTCTTCTCAAAACCTTTGATAATTTTTTCAATTTAAATTTCATGCTCAGGACTTCTGTTATTTATTTTTTAAATGTATATATATTGCACAGAACTTCTTTCATTTTTTTTCTATGCAAACTTCTTCTTAGAGCCTCTTATTTATTTGTTCTTTTTTTATTTGAATTTTATGTTCAGAACTTCTTTTATTTATTTTTTTCGATGTAAATTTCTTTCTCAAAATATGTTTGTTTTTTTCAATATAAATTTCTTCTTCCGAACCTGGTACATATATATTTTTTTCATTACAAAATTCTTACTCAGAACCTTTTTTTTTTCAATGTAAATTCTCAGAACCTCTGTTATTTTTGTCAATGTATTCTGTCTGTAATTCTAACATTAAATAATTTTGAATTATGTAGGGTTGTTGAAATTGCTGCTTCACATTATAATCATATATCAGCTGCCTTAACTCAGACATCTAAAGTATACATGTGGGGTCAATGTCGTGGTCAGGCTGTTACATCTGCAGCAGAAACTCCTTTCCACACATTGCATGATGTTTTTGCATGTTTTGCATCTCCTGCTGTAACTTGGGTACCGATGGATCTTGGTAAATTTATTCATTTACTGTTTAATTTCTTGTAGTAATTTTTAAATATATGGTTCATTCTCGTAAAAATAGTTTTTTTTTCATACCCCAGCTCACTTTATGCTCATTTTATGATTTATGCATATTTTTTAAGTATGTAGAATGTATTTTAACAAAATAATGAAAATAGGATTATTATTTTCAATTCATTATTTTTTTAAAATTTCTACAGTTAAAATACTCCTACATTTTATTTTCTTACTTGTCCCTACTATTGAATTAAAATTTTAAAAAAAATTGTTTTTTAGAAAATGAGCCATAGGTTTGCATATTTATATGTAATATTGAAATATGGAATTCATAAAATACATTTTAAACTAACATTTTAGAACAAATATTGACCTGCTTTATTGTAAACCTGAAGGAAACATTCATTTTCTTTCTGAATTTTTAATTATATGATCTAAAAGGAAGTGCTAGATAATATTGTAGAAGTTATATTTTATTTGAATTTTGCATTTTAATTATTTTTTTAGGAAAACGTTGTTTTTTTTTTAACTGTATCTATCTTTTATTCAGCTCTAAATGTTTGACGAAACATTTAAATAAATGTTTTATTTCAAGAATTGTTTTTTTTTTTTAAATTTTTCTTTAGTTTTTTTAAAAACCAACTTGAATATTGTTTTAATAAATTCCATGTGTCCAAAACTGTTTCGATTTTAAAAATAGTCTTTTAGTCTCTTGATATCAAGGGACCTCTTTTCAATCATAATATGTGTTATGAATAGTTTTATTGGGATTAGATTTTAAATTTATAATTTTTGTATGTTTCTTATCATATTACTAAGCGTTTACTAAAATGCGACTTTTCAAATAATCTTTTTCTCTAATGTTATTTATGCATCTTTGTTTTATCATAAACCTATCACAAACTGTTTATTCTATTTTTAGATGTAGTGTTAACAAATAGAGTGAGTGATAGTATAAGGCAAGCATTTGATGATGAGGTTGGTATTAATGTTATAAAAACTTGAGACATTAATTGTATTTGTTTAATTTTTGCAGTTATTGTTTTCATCATTTTCTTAAAGCTTAGTTATTACTATTGAGTTATTTATATTATTTTACTTAGTTCATGTAAAACTTGTCACTTAATGTTTATAATTTTTTTTTTATCTCCACACTAGTTTATTAGCTATTTTGATCTAAATATGCTATGTATATAAATTTAAAGTGCATAATTGATTTATTTTCCAACATAGGACACTTCTGATTTAAAATTTAATGTAGATGGAAAAATAATTCATGTCCACAAATCTATTCTTAAAATACGGTAAGTTGAAATTTTTTATTTTAGTTTAATATTTTTTTATTCTTTTATTGATATAGTTGTTTTGTATGCATTGCAGTACATAGTACAACATGACACTAAATTTTTTTAAAAATTAATTTGACAAGATCACTAAATTACTTATTTTTCTTTGAGTAAAATCCTTGGAATTACCAAAGGCAAACCTGTTGGACTTTTCTACCAGGTTTGAGGAGAACTTTCTGTGCTGTAAAAGCCTTGTATTCTACTCGCCGAATGCACATAAATTGCATTTTAATCACAAAAATTAAAATTATTATTATTATTTGTTATTATTTAATCAATAAATGCTTTATTAAGCCATTTGTTGTACTTATTTATTGCACTAATTATTTATTTTAAAGTGAAAAGAATTATGCATATTTTTGTTTAATAATGTCTTATATAGTAAAATTTTCATCTAACCTTTTAAATAAAGCATTATTATGTTTTGACACTGAGTTGTCCTTTTTATATTTCACACAAGAACGAAATGAGATTTTTTAAATGAATAAATTTTTTATGTTCTAGTGCATTTCTTTTTTATAATTTCAGTAACCTTTTTTTTTTTAGCTAAGTTTCCTTTGCTACAAATAGAACATAAAAAATGCCTTTAAATACAATTTTAGGTTAAAAATATTAAATAAACCTATTGTTTTGTTTTTGATTCATGTCCTTAAAGCTTTTCAACTTAGGCGCTAGCACTCTTTAATTATTAATCATTGTTACACAGAATATGAGTAAATTGCAGAGTACCATACATTTTCTTCATTTTTCTAACTTCTAGTCCCGCAGCTGACTGATCGTAAAGACACCAATTGGTCCCAATAGAATACCAAAGTCAAGCATCACTGACTACGATCAGTAAGCAGATGGGTGACCACTTTGACCAGTCTGCTTAGGGGCTGAAGGGGCGTGGTATCAGTCCTGGTTAAACTGTTCTATCGTGCTTGACTTTGCCCGCAGATTATCTTGCTGAAGCAGGAGGGCATCTCCTTTGCAGAGGATTAATATTGCGATGGCAAGTCTTCGGATCATCCTCAGGGATGTTTCCCAGACCTTTGCCAATAGCCCATTGTGCAGTCCCAAGTACCTTCCTTCATCTAATTTCTTATGCATGATGATTTATAAGTTTTCTCACCTTGTATAAATACTAAAGATTCCAAAAGATTAAATGAAATATAAATCTACTTTGTTTGTGGACAGTTTCGTAAATAAAGAGAACAATGCAATCTGTTGTGTAGCGTTTAGTATACAAGGAAGATTTTTCCTTATATTTGCTTTAAAATGTTTAAATAATTTTTTGTTCATTTTTTTCTTAATATATATTTATTTCTTAATATTTGTTTTTGCTTGTAGCTGTGACCACTTTCGCTCAATGTTTCAAGCACACTGGGGTGAAGATGAGAAAGAGTAAGTAATCTCTTAGATTATATTATAGACTAGCTGAATGCCCATTCTTCGCTTGGGGTAAAAAAAAATCAATAAAACAGTACTGAACAACACTACCAAACCATGCACGAAACTAAAAGATATATACGAACATAATTAATGTTAACTAAAATAATTCCAATATTTTTTATTTAGTATTATATTTTACTGTTCCCGGGAAGCTTTGCATTATTGGATCAAGCAAACAGGTTTTTAGTAATTAAACTCATCAAAATAACTGTTCACAGGTTAACTGTTATTATTAATCATGTTATTATTAACTGTTATTATTAATCATGTTATTATTAATCATGTTATTATTAACTGTTATTATTAACTGTTATTATTAAACTGTTATTATTAATGTTGTTAATCATTATCATTTTGCATGAAGCTGTTGCTCAATACCATGTTAGTCAAAGTTTTGCATAATCAAGCAATTTCCTCTGTTACTTCACCTTTTTGAAAGATTTTAAAAACCTCTTTCTACAACCGTATTACAACTGCTCAGTATTGATACAGTTTTATTAGGTAACAAATATACTAATACAATATTGTACTTATATTATTATATTTGTTACCTACTAAAACTGCATCAATTACCATGATGCCAGTAGTGCTTATTACAAAAATTAATTAAGTATCATTGGAGTCAATTAGAATTTTACGAATTTTTATGTTTCTCCTAAATGAATTTGTAGTATTTCTCCATTAATTTTGCTTTATAGTACATAGTTTATCTTTTATTTCAATTAGTAACTATTACCAAAATTAATTAAGCATTGTTGGCTTCAAAGATAATATAACAATTTTTGTTCTTTTCTTTTAAACGAATTAGAACTAATTTCCCAATAATTTAGCTTTTTAGAACAGTTAGAGTGCTTTCTATTTTATAAATGCAGTAAAGAGAGTATGGAATTATATGGCCTAGTGAAAAGTTGAGAATGTTGAAATCAGCTGCTTTTAAAACTCGTGGAAGGATGAGAAAAAAATTAGGATTTCGAAAGTGCTTGCCTGCTGCCAAACCCTTGTTTTAAGCCGGTAGTGTGCACTGTTCGTTAAAACTGTACAGTTTAAATCGTCTTAGTCATAATTTTCAATATTGTTGTAGTTTGTTAATAAACAGTCAGTATTTTGCATGAATCATTTTTCTTACAATGTGCAACATATTTAGTTAATTACTAGGGAGTGGAGGTAGGAAGTGAAACTCCGTCCTATCCGGCTTTTTTGTTATCCTGTTTGACCTTAAATCACATTACCAGATAGTTGACAGTTTACTTTATATCTATAGAACTTATAAAAAGAAACAAGATTATTTTCCTGAAGGTCAATAAACGAGTAACAGAAGCCAATATTCAGTTGCTAGTTCAAAGTTTACTTAAGGGTTCAGCTTTGGACTATTATCTTTTTGTGACTATCACCAAAAAGTTTACTTAAAGGCTGCAATAAGGGAGAAGGGCAATGATTTGATCATAAATGAAAAGTTTATGTTTTTTATGGGAAAAACATCTTTAATTTTTTTTTTTTTAATTTTGTAGTTTTAGAATTATTTATATGATTAAAATAAGTAAAGTGATAACTGATTTTTTAAAATTGTAATCCATTTTGTTTAATGTATTTTATAGCACCATTGACATCACACAATTTTCTTACCCTGTTTATCGAGCCTTTTTGAAATATTTATACACGGATGAAGTTGATTTGCCTCCAGAAGATGCGATTGGTAATTCATAATTAATTTTCTTTTCAAATATTGTTTATGTAAAGTTAAGGGGTCACAGTACCCTTTGCAGCATTTTTTTTAAAATAAAGGTATAATCATTCATTTTGTGGGTGCTTTACATGCTCATTTAAATGATAATCAATAATTTATCTTCAAAAAATAGTTTAACTGTTTAATTTTTTAAAATTTGAAAAATAATTGAAAATTTTTAAATTTTTAAGGCTTTTTTGTTTTAATTTATTTTCAAATTTTTTTTCTCTTAGTGCTTACAATATTCATCTTAACAATTTTGTGCATTCATTTGTTGATATATCAATTAGAAAATTTTTTATTGATTATTTTGTAAAAAAGTAGAAAAAAAAGGTTAAAAATTCCTATTAGATATATATAACATGCTGTAAAAACTGTAATAGCTCATAAAATGCTTATTCCATGCACAATTTAAATAAGCGTATTATACTTAAGGTAAAAAAGTTTACTTCAAAGCTTTATCTTAAATAGAAAAAATTCCTTAGGGATTTAATTAAGGCAAAATTATCATCTATGAGAAAAGGCACTTTAAAGTGTGTCTGCTGATCAAGTTTCTGTTTTAGGGCAACCTAAAATCATTCATAACTTTTTTAAAAGTGTAGATAGAGAGATGATTTTTTTTTCAGTACATTTGAAATAGTTTTAAGTTTTATTATAAGCAATAAAAAAAACATCGATATTTTGGTTATTTTTTGGGTACTGTGACCCCTTAACGCTCAATATGATAACAGTTGTCGTCGAAAGCAAATAAAACTTTTATTGCTACATTTTAAGTGTACTAAAGTAACACAAATATTTGCTCATAACTGGAAATACTTGATGTGTTTTGACAAAAAATTTGTATATTCTTCAAAATCAAAGTTATTAGCTGTGAGATTTAACCCATCAGCGTGAATTTTTTTCTCTCCCAAACGGTCGTGCAAGTGAAAAAAATTCCACGTAATTTTTTACTTTCAAATGATTCTGTACTTAGAAAAGGCCTCAGATTTTTTTTTTGTGCTGAGCACTTACATATATTGAATTAGATAAACTATCTAGAATTAGATTGGAGTAAAATGACATTTCATCGCACAGTTTTCTGATTACAAGATGGGTATTCAATTTGAATAACAGTTGTATGAAAAAGGTATGAATATTGTGATTTGATTACTGGATAACAATTGTCTCTAATACCTTAATGAATTTATTATTTATTCGAATACAAATAAATCACTTGTGATAGCCAGTCAGGAGTTACTTTTTGCTAAATCTTCAAAACACATATGCAATGAAGAAGAAATAAATTATTTGTTTTACATTAAATAAGTTTTCCTTATATCCTGAATATATTTTAGCTACAACATGAATAATAATGATTATACCACATCACATACTTTTTCTTGAAAATAAGCCTCCTAAAATAAATTGATATTTCACGTAAGAGTCAATGTATGCAATGTAATCAGCATATTATCTTTAAAAAGAAGTTTACAAAAACTATGAAAGTACTTTTCCAAACCTATAAAATGTATGCTTGATATTAAACTGATTTCTGAAAGCAATAACGTATCTTTATTTGATTGTCAATACTCCATAACAGGGGTTTCCAACTTACATGAGGCCGGGGACCACATTTAAAAACACAAATCAAATGGCGGACCGCCAGTTGGAAACCCCTGCTCTATAATACTTGCTAATTTTCCATTTTTTTAAAAACAAATTAAGACCCATCTTGAGAAAAATGTAAAAACTTAACTATGTATGCTATATTCAAACAAATTTTTAAGTCTTGACGGATGTAAGTCTAATGGAAATTCTCCGTATTTCTTCAGAAGTAATAATTATTGCTGCCCCTGATTTTTTATCAGAAAGTTTTAAAATACTAAATACTCAATCACAACATTGACCCTGATAGTATTTCATTATTGTCCTAGATTTTTCTTTCTCAATGAAATCTAACAAAAATTTCTTTTATAAATAGGTCTGCTTGATCTTGNCACAAAATATTCAATGAGAAAATTGAGGTTTGTCTGCTGCAACCACCAGAGAATAGATATTTACATTTTAAGTTTACAAATGTGTGTTTAAATATTTTCGTACAAAATGAGTGGTTTTAAAAAGTTAAATCGGAGAATTTCTTCGAGAAAATTTCTGATACGCACATGTTAAATTATATTCACAAAATACGAAAAAAATGAAATAAAAAAGAGCAACATACACAATTATTTTTGTATTTGAATAAAGATTTTCTTAGATGCAAAACCTGAAAAATAAATTTCTTTGCACAGTTGGTATGTTAAATTTCACAGAAACGAAGAAATTAGGTTTTTATTAACCAGAAAAGTATTTTAAACCCATATAAATTTTTTACGAAAATTATCCGCAAAAAAATGACAACTAATATATTTTAGTTTGCGAGCCCCTGAGCCGCCAGTTGGAAACCCCTGCTCTATAATACTTGCTAATTTTCCATTTTATTAAAAACAAATTAAGACCCATCTTGAGTAAAAATGTAAAAACTTAATTATGTATGTTATATTCAAACAAATTTTTAAGTCTTGACAGATCTAAGTCTAATGGAAATTCTCCATATTTCTTCAAAAGTAATAATTATTGCTGCCCCTGATTTTTTATCAGAAAGTTTTAAAATACTAAATACTCAATCACAACATTGACCCTGATTGTATTTCATTATTGTCCTGGATTTTTTTTCTCAATAAAATCTAACAAAAATTTCTTTTATAAATAGGTCTGCTTGATCTTGCAAATTCTTATTGCGAAGTGCAATTGAAAAAACATTGTGAAATCATCATTAAGCATGGGATAACTGTTGAAAATGTGGCTATGCTTTATGCTGCTGCTATAAAATACTCAGCTGAGGTAATTTCTTCACATGTATTTGCAATTGTTTTCATTTTCACATAAAATGAGATTTCTTCTTTAAGTAAGAGTTTGTAAGTTTTTTTTCTAACTGTATTGAAAATTAACTTTTATTTTTAAAACCAGAGTATAATTAAAATGATGGTATTAAATTCTTGGATGTAGGTTATTTTTATTTTTTTTCAAACTGTGCTAAATTTTGTTGACTTGTAAGTTAAGAAAAAATTTAGAAGGAAGTTATAATTTTCTTAAAAATAAAATAAATTGATGAATAAAAAAGATTATAAACTATGTTGTTAGGATTCCGAATGAATTACTTGAAGGTTGTCTAAAATCTGAAGTTATAAAAATAGGAAGAATTCTATATATTTCTTCCATTAAGTGTAATTTTTATGCTTTATTTTCATCGGAAAAGTTTGTACTATTTTTATTAAATAGCTCATTTTTGGCAAAACAGGGAAGTGTTGATAAAAGTGTATTAGAAGAAAAAACTTTTCTTAGACTTTTAAAAACCTTAAAAAATTTTAAAGTTTAAATTTTTTTTTTATGTTTAACATCAAAGCTAAAAATATAAACGTTAATTTTAGCCAGTTGGGATTTAATTTTAGGCAGCACTGCATTTTATTTGCTGATAAAAATTTTAATGTTTATAACTGATTGTTTGATAGTCCTATTTATTATAGTCTACCTTAATTAATTTTCTTAAAGTTTTGTTATTAACATAAGAAACATAGAAATAGCTAAATGTATTAGAAACAAGTTTATAAAAAATTTATAGTTTTAGCAGTTTTAATATTTAAGAACTATTTTTATTTAATAATTTAACATTTTAATATATAATTTTGTTATGCAATAATGTTAAGTTTTCACAATTATTGAGTTCGTAGTTTAATCTCGCCTTATTTTTTTAAAACTTATATTGTTAAGTTAAAACACAATTTTACTTCATTAAATTATTTTGATTACTTTTCATCCGTAATATTTTTGAAAAATTTGTAGAATTTTTGATTTTACTGAATTCTTATGGTTGTGTTCAAGCTACTGCCATCCCTGAGTCCAAATAATTAATTAATCCCACTTTTTTGTTTGAAAGACATCATAGTCTTAAGTAGTAGTTTAATCTACTAATTTTTATGTAGCAAAATTTTAATAATTTTGTACGTAGGTTATTAAAATTTCTTAATACTCCTTTAGTCTTTGTTAAAATATCGATAAAATATAAACATTATGAGATATCGTTTTAAAAATAAATTCTGTAAAGTTATATTGGATATTTGCCTTACATAATAATTTCCAATTCCTTTCTATTTAATTCATATTTATTTTAAGATCATAATTTTTCTCCTTGTGTGTAAACTTTTTATGCTAAATGTTGCATTTTGTTTGTATTTTAGCACTAATTTATTTATGTTACATAACTCGATACATTGTGTCGTTGTGGTACATTGTTTCTGTGATACATTATGTTATTGTGATACATTATTTCTGTGTTACAAAGTGTCTTTGTATCTATTTACATTAATTGATCAATACGGCTATTACTTAAATAACTTAATAACTTATAAGTAACTTTTTGCCATACACCATAAAGTAATTTTAAAAACTGTCAATTTTTTTAGGGCCTCTTAAAATTTGAATTTTCCTATTTATGTTTTAACATTGGCTTTTAATTAAAAAAAACATATCTATGTACAATTATTATTTTTTATTTATAAAATCATAAAGAAAAGAGAATTATTTTTTCCTTGGAATAAATAATGCTTGAAACAAACAATAGCTGCACGAAAGTTACAATGCATATAACTATTTCGATGATATAAACAAGCATTAGTGACAAGACACACAATATTCATTTCATGTATTTGATGATGATGAAATATTTTGTTGATGCTATAAACTAGCACTGTCAAGATACAATGGATAGTCATCGATTGGGAAGAGATTATTGACCTTTAAAAATTTCACTTCAATACAATGTTGTCATTTTGCTGAAAAATTATCATTAAAGCATAACTCCTCATACCATTAACTCAAACTTTACTCCTCATACCATGAACTTAATAAAACACTAAACTAGGTTGCCCTTATTTTAACTAAACTCATACCACGATTTGGCTTTCAATCACCTTCTTACAGTAGATTGACAATTTTCATTTTGTGTATTTGCTCTGATGATAATAAAGTATTGTGTGTCTTGCATTAATGATGCATATTTATAGCATCTATAAATACAACTAGGTATGAACTACCTATACAACTATTTAATTTGCACTCATTACTTTGCTTTATGCATTAATCTGAAATTTCTTAAAATAACAATGTGATTACCAAGTGTTAAAACAGAAGAATTTATTGTATGATAGAGTATCAACATTTTAACGTTTTGTGTATTACATAGGAATTAAAGGAGTTCTGCTTTGGCTTCGCTTTAAATCACTTGACTGCTGTTGCCCAAACTGAAGCTTTTAATAAACTGGATGAACTAACAGTGAAAAATTTCATTCTTAAAGCTGCTAAAAATGGAGCATTCAAGTACTGACATAAATATTGAACTAGGCTTTTATGCAAAATGTAGGTTTCTTTTTTTGATATTTTTACCTTTTTCTTTTGCATTCAGTTACTATAAGCTTGTCATTTCTTTTTAATAACTTACATTACTTGATTACCTTTTTTACATTATCAAAATTTACAAATAATAATAATTAGCTTTCTAAGCTTAAATTTTCTTAATTTCTTTTTTTTTATTAATTTTTTAAGATAAAAATATTGTTTTAATTAATAATTCCATGCTTTAAAAGGGATATTAAATACAATTTATTTCAAATGAGTTAGTTTTCTCTAATTAAGAAGATTTTAGTTAAAAATTTCTTAATAATCGCTGCTTTTCTAAGTTATTCTACATTCTATGCCTGTTGTTTGTTGAGGTAAATATATTGACCAGCTAAACATTATTTGATTTCAAAAAGTTGTTTAAATGTTAATTTATAAGTCATTTATTCTTAATATTTTTTTTAAATGAGAAACTTATGAACTATACTAAAATTGCAAAACATTGAAATATACAAAAAACAAGATTTTTTTTCCTTCCAGTTTTTGAATTCTNTAATCGTTGCTTTTCTAAGTTATTGTACCTTCTATAACTGTTGTTTGTTGAGGTAAATATATTGACCAGCTAAACATTATTTGATTTCAAAAAGTTGTTTAAATGTTAATTTATAAGTCATTTATTCTTAATATTTTTTTTAAATGAGAAACTTATGAACTATACTAAAATTGCAAAACATTGAAATATACAAAAAACAAGATTTTTTTTCCTTCCAGTTTTTGAATTCTGAAATACAAAGTTATAGATGATTTTACTATAGTTATATTAACATAAACTTTCATGAATTTTTTAAAAACTATTTTCCTCATAGCTCTTTTTTAAAATCTATTATATTTGTTTTGTTTCTATGCTCGTTTTAATAATGCGTATATATTTAGTTAATCACTAAAAATAAAAATAGTTATTTGAAAGTTAGTTTTACTGCATTACCAAAAGTATAGTTTTACTAAAAACACCCTTTTTTTCAATCAAAGAGTAACCAGTAACTATTAATTATTGAGATTTATGTTTACTTGTTTCCCAAAAGCTGTAGTATTGTTTTCCTGCACTTTTCTATTCATCTCTTCATTTCTTTTCAAACATGTGTCGATGTTATCTATACCACCTTTCTTTTACTTGTAAGTAAGCTTTAGATTATTTTTCCTGATATTTCCTTTGCTAGCTTTTCTATAGAATAAATCATTTTTTTAAAAATAATTTCTAATTAAATATATTTAGTTTTAATGTGCACTTAAATGCTAGATTTAAAACTAAATTTTTTTTATATATGTCATGAACTATTTGAAATTTTTTTTGTCTCTTTGCAAATATCACCATCATTTTTTAATGAAGAAAGTTATTTTGAAATTTATCTTTTTTCAATTAGCCTGATAACTTTTATGTATCTGGTGTTGTTTTTTAGTAGCACAAAATGTATGTGAAATTGTATATATTTCTGATTTTTTTGATGTTTTTTCATGATTTTTTTTAGATTACACAAATTTATGGGACTTAACAGACTTCAGTGAGGAGATTTTGTTACATTATTATAAAAATAATGTTTCACTTCTTTTATACTTTGTATGCTCGTTACTAGTTTTAAAATTATATGTTTATCTATATCTACAGTAATTTCTCGACTATTCTGCCTAATCTATTAAAAGGTAGTCCGGATAACAAAATACCGGGATAGGACGACATTCCACTTCCTACCCCTCTCCCAGACAAATGAAAACATATGTTGCACATTTGAAAGTAAATGTTTAATGCAAAAATACCCAATGTTTATTAATAAACTACAGAAATCTGAAAATTTATGGCAAACACGAGTTAAAATGTACATACAACCGCTTTATTAGTCTTCATTTTTTTATCTTTTATTTCCCAAAATGAGTTTTACTAATGGCTGGTTCCATTATCCTCATTTTTATTAGGCAGGATAGTCAGGAGCATCCTGTATATGTATATACATTTATATATTTATTATCATTAGTTTTTTTGAAGTTACAGTTAAAATGGAGTAAAGTCGTCATTAAAAGCCTAGTTCAAGTAGCATATTTTCATTTTTTTTCCTGTAATATTTAATTGGAATTTTGAGCTTGGTGATTAAGAAAATGAAATAAATTATTGTGATTTGTGATAAAAGAAAGTAAAATATAATTAACAAAGTGTATTTCAATATATTTCGAGTTATAATGTGCTGCTTGATGTTATTTTCAATCCTTCATTGAATAATCTTTGGGGTTATGACCATTCGAGGTCTAATTCTTTTTTAGTTTTTCGATAGATCAAATAATCAATCAAATCTTACTTGTTTTAAATGATTATTAACTCTTTATATTTTGTTTTACTGAGTTAAATTTTGCTTGAAAAATTTCATTGTCAATGGTTTCTCCATAGAATAACATGAAAAAAAAAAAAGCTGATTTTGTGTGTGACTTATTTTAAACTGAATTGAGTTTAGCATTATTTGGGAAAGCTTAGCGAAATCTTTTCAATTTATCCATGTTTTGTTTTCTTATTTTGATCTTAATTAATAGTGCTATGAGAAATAAAACAGTTTGTTATTCTACATTATTCCATTATTGGTTATTCCATTATTGGTTGGAAAAAATGACTGTGACAAATATTTTATCCTGAACTGAGTTTGGGATTGGTCAATAAATGAGTAAGAAATCTTCCAAATTTATGTATTTTTTTATTTTCTTAATTATTGATTTAAATTAGTAATGCAATAAAAAATAAAAAAACTTGTTATTCCACATTATTCCATGATTGGTTTCTAATGTGAGAAAAAAAAACAGTGACTTTAACTGTGACATACATTTTACTGTAAACTAAGTTTAGGGTCAGTAAATGGTTAGGATAAATTTCAAAATGTATAAATTTTTTATTTTTTTATTTATCGATTTAAATTAATAATGCAATAAGAAATAAACTTGTTATTCCATGATGGGTTTCTAATGTGAGAAAAAACAGTGACTTTAACTGTGACATACATTTTACTGTAAACTTAGTTTAGGGTCAGTAAATGGTTAGGATAAATTTCATAATGTAAGCATTTTTTATTTTCTTGTTTATTGATTTTAATTAACGCAATAAGAAATAAAAACATTTATTACGCAGTTTATTACATGTTATTCTATGATTAGTTTCTCTATGGAATAACATAGAAAAGCACTGACTTTGTTGGTAGTAAACATATTGGTAAATGGTTAACAAAAATCTTCTAAGTTTATCTATTTTTTATTTATTAATTTTAATTTATAAGACAATAAGAAAAAAAGCAATTTGTAGATATGTAAATAAATATTATTTGCTTTGGGAAAACTATATTGTTATATAATTATTTTATTTAGTTCATAACACCCTCAATTTCAAAAATATGTGATATTGTACTTATTGTTGTTTTTTCATTCCAAACATTAAATTTTTGAAGTCTTTATGATATAAGGACTAAAATATATCTATATATTGTTCTATCATTGTACAAGCATTTCTCAAAAGGTGGAAGCATAAACGTACCAAACCCTAAGCCCTGACAACAACAAAGTTTAAACTTAATTCTCATTAAAAATTTTAGACTAAATATCTAGTTTCATTTAGTGACAGGAATTAAAATTTTTAAAAAAAATTTCTGTAAATAATTAAAATAAATATTCTTTACAACAAAAATGGCCAATTATGAACATTCATGAGGTTAACTGAGTCAATGTAATTCCAAATTTTTTTTTTTTAAATAGTGTTTACTTGTTTGCAAATAAAAATAAGAGTTAAAATTGAAATCTAAATAAAATTAAAATAAAATTATTACTTATTAATTATCTTAACAAATGGCAGTAATAGATAAATTATACTTAAGCATTTTCTTATGTTTTCATGAAAAAATGTAAAAATTTTTTTTACATTTGAAATATAGAATCGTCTAAAAAAATTTAATCTATGTGACACCAATAGCTTCTTCATAAATTTATTGCTAATGATATCTGGTGGCCTAAAACTCAATGAAAAATTCATTGTGTTTTTTTTTTTAATTTAAAAAAGTATATTGTGAATATTAGTGCATATAATATAAATATGAATAGAAATCAGAATTAGCTGCTGTTGGCATTATTCTTTCCACCTTTTAAGACGAATGTCCATTCAGTAGTGTATTTTTAATCTGAAATATTTATTTGCAAGTTGTATATGAAAAATATAACACCTCAGTTTAGGCTTGATTTAGGATAATGCGAAGGATTTCTGTGATTGTCAGGGAATGGATTAGATAGATGTATTTTTTAAGTTTTTTTTTTTTAAATTACCAAGTAATTTATTAAATTCCTGGATATTATTTATTGGGCTATTAACTCTAATTATTTCTAATTATTTTTTAAATTTATTAAGTGTCTGTAACGAGTTTCTGAAATCACAAAACTTATTGTTAAAGCTTCATATGCTACTATCAAAGTTATTATGTGCCATGCAATTATTATTCCTATTTTTTGTTACCAGAAAAATTTGATTTCTGACATATTTTGGAATACCTAAGCATTTAATAGAGAGGCAAAAAATTAGCGCACAATGTATGAAATGTTTAAACTGTTCACACATTGCCTAGGCATTTTATTGAATACCAAAAAACAAACCAGCATGTTATGAAATACATATCTGATACATTTCAGTAATGTATAAAAAAAAATTTTACAATCACCGCTCTTTAATAAACATTAAGACTGCTTCTCAAAAAATAAAGACTTATTGGGGTTCGCAAAATTATAGTTAAGAGTTAAGCAATGTAAAAATAAATGTTCCCACAATCACTATTCTATTGTACAAAATATCAAACTTTGATTTGAGTTATCGTAGAGGATTTGAAAGATGATTGATAGAAACAACTGTAAGTTTCAATTAATGATCAAATAGGTTTTGAATTTGTTTCCTTCAATAGCAATTTGTTAGATTTTGCATTTTTTGCAAATGCTAATTTGCAGCCAATGTGCTTATTTTTTTGTTTTTATTTCATTTTGATGATTATAAAAATATATATTAAGGGTAATAATTACAGAACACCCTGTACAATAGTTCTCAACTTCGGCATTAGTTCTTATCCTCAAATTAATTCTTATTTTCTTACTCATCTAATTTTAGAAGTAACTAAAAGTCTTTTTTAAAAAAAAAAAAAAAACCTGATATTTTTTCTTATTTTGACAAAGAACATTTGTTATTCTAAAATGCCTAGTTAAAGTCTATAATAATTCTCCCATTCTAAAAATGCAAGGTATTCTATAGAATGTAGTCATTTCATTTATTGCTAGTAACATGTTTTGTCTGCAGGGGAATTTTTGAATGTTCATACAGCTGCTGCAAATGTTAGTAATCTTAAGAGGGGGGGGTGAAACAAAATTTGTCATAATTCCGTGGGAGTTATGACGAATTCTGTTTCACCTTCATTGGTAATTTAAAATATAAAAGTCAGTTTACATAAACCCGTAGATTCAAATAATTTTTTAAATGTTGAATTTTTTTTTTGGCCCAATTTTAAGTAATCCTGCTATACTTTGTTTATATTTGGATAATTTGAAAAAAAAATTTTTTTTTTCCTGCTTTTGAAACTTTATAGTTTACTTTTATTTACTGGAACTCACTTTTTTTATATTTTAAATTCAAAGTGACCACCGAAGATTGAAAATCATTGAATTTTATCAATTTGAAAAAAAAAAAAAAATCAGGGAAATGTCAGGGAATTTAATTGAAATACCTAAACAGTCTGAGAAAATGAATAATTTTAAGTTTTAAAAAACTTTAAGAGTAAATATTTTTTTTATTTTTAAAAATTGGTCTATTAATAATCATTTTTTTAAGCAAAAATTTTGTGTTTTTAAATTTAAAAGCAAGTATTAGTATATTGTAACATATTTATGATGTAATATGGCATTTTTAAGAAATTAATGACAATAATATAATACATCCCGGTTAAAAAAATTATTGGAAGAAAATAAAATCAGTGTAAAAAAGTCATGGAATTTTTTATTGAGTCTTTGTTTATCACGTTAAACAGAATTTAGCTTTGACACATTACTTCTGCAATGTAGGGTCCTCTTAAGTTATGATGTTAAGTTGTGCATTAGATGGTAAACTTATTTAATTATATATTGTTTAGCATACTATTTTTTTATGTGCACCTTTTTCATTGAAACTGATCATACTTAATTTTGAGAAAACTTACTTTACCTCAATTTTATACCTATTTTAATATTTTGCTTTCACATAAGTTGTATAAAAATATATTAAAACATATTATATAAATTGTTTTCACTGTTCCTGCATTTTGTTTGCTTTTCAAAATAGCAATATTTTATTGAAATGGAATTGTTGCTGTTATAAGGGAGCAAAATCTATTTGGTATAAAACCAGGGATTATCAATCAAACTTTATAAGTATTTATTTTAATTTGTTGCATGTGTTATATAAATGTACTTCTTTTAGCATATATTTTATAGGTTTCTGTAAATTATTTAACTGAGTGAGGTATTTTTAATCAGAGCTTTTTGCTGTCTCTTGTCTTTCATTGGGTGCTGTGAGGGTGAGCACAAGAATATATTGTAAAAGAATGAAATTCCTTATTATTGTTTTTGTTTTCAAATGATATATGTATATTTTGCTGCACTATTGATTGTATGTTATTTGTTTTGTAAATTTCAAATTGTTGAATATGCATTTATGAAAATATGTTTTTACATTTTTGTATATTTCAAAGCAATAAACTTTTATAATTTATTAATTTAAATTTTGTATAATTTTTTGAGCGTTTGAATGCACAGTAGAGCAATCAATTTCTCTCTAACCCAAATAACTGTGTTAACTGAACTTAGAAGTTAATTTTTAAACACTTGTCTTTTTTTTACGTCCCTCTTTTATTTTTGTAAAAATTACTGTACTGTGATGAAAAGTTTAATAAATAGTAGACCCCTAACAACCGATTTTAGTACAGAAGTTGATTTTTAAGCACTTATCTGTTTTTTTATTTATTTATTATTTAATTTAAATGATATTTTTTTATTATTGTAATAATTACTTTACCGTGATGAAAAGTTAAGTAAATAGTAGACCTCTGTTAAACCTTTTGTTAACCGATTTTGGTAAAGAAGTTGATTTTTAAACATTTATCTTTTTCTACTACCTTTTTTATTTTTGTAATATTTGACTGTTTTGTGATGAAAAGTAAATATTCGTAGTTTAGTTAAGTTTAAAATATGCTGATTTTAACTCTGGTAAACGATGCACATATCCACAAAAATCATGAATGGTATATACCGTATTGAAATAATATTTTAACATATTTATTAATTTAATTCCCTTTACTTGACAAAGATCTTTTATTTGCAATCGATTATTAACACTTCTCTACATTTAATTTGAATAATACCTTGCCCATTTCACTTAACATGCTTATTTTTAACTAATTTAACCAAGTATTTCTAACGAACATTTCTCACTTGTAATAATTTAAGCTATCCATTTTTTGGTTAATAATTGTCTTTAAATATATAGGCAGTCCCAAATAACACAGTTCATCTGGAGCTAAAAAATTATGATGGCTTGGCGTATCTGGAGAAACCCAAATAGTATTGTAGTCAAAATCACTCTTTTGAAAATGCTATGGGATCTGTAAAAAAGCTAGACAACGCTGTAAAAAAGCTAGACTAGTTGTCATGGATAGGAAATGTTCAAAATCGCTGTAGTTGAAACAGCCAAGGCCTATAAAGGGCTGTTGTGCTCATAAAGAAGAATTGTCTTTCAAATTCAAAATTAATCTGCTTACCACAGATAATAAAAGCATCGCCATTTGGCATTATAACAGCAAACCAATTTTCAAGGTTTATAACATCTTTCAAACATTTGAAATTTCGCATACGTGATTCTGACTTGTAATTTTGATTGGCATACGTTTCACTTTTTGGCCTCTGTTCAAAATTTAAACGGGAGAGAGAAATTCGAGTTAATTCTAACCAATTATACTTAAAATAGAAATTTATTTTTCATTTCATTAATCTTTAGCAACTATTTTACCTTGGGTCCCAGTTGGGCCCCCAAAGTCGGCTTAATATGGGTCCTATATGAAAATACTCCAAGGGACCAATATTAGGATGTCTAGATTTTTTATTATTGGTCCTATATAGGGCCTATATTAGCTGTATAATGAGTTTGAAATATCAGGTGAATCTGGCAATTCTATGTTGGGCCGATATTGGTTGTAAAGTGGCGGTAAATTATCGAGTGAATCGAACTATTCTGTATAGGGCAATATCGGAAAATAACGCTCCTTTGAACCCTTATCGAGCCAAGATTCGTGAATAGTCCGATGAAGGCCCAAGTTATTTTGCTGCTAGGGATCATATTAGTTTCGAATTTTATTGAACAATACGAACCTCATTATCAAATGATTGAAGGTATTTCCCTCTATTGTGGTTTACAAGATCATGTAAAGATACATTTTACCCGGACCCCTTTACTCGGGCAAGCGATAAGTTAGTATATTATAAAATAACAATCCTTTATTTTACAAACATTTCATCCTTTGAAATTTAAGCCAAATTGAATATTCTTGTCTTAAATTTTAAGTATATCAAAAATTTCAACAAATTATTTGAAAACAATTTAAATGA